AATAATGACAAATTTGTCATTATTGTCATATTGACAATTTTGTCATTATTAACCCCTGATATTACATTATTATTAGGTATACAGGTATACAGGCTATACAGGTATTATTAGCTCGTATTATATATATATATATATATCACGAGCTAATAATACCTGTTGGTACTACTATATATAGTATAATATGGTAGTACCTATTATATATATATTGAAGCGGAACAACAGATGTCGTTGTATTTCTCTCGAAGTGCAGCGAAACGCACGTGCTGCTCATTGCGATCGGAAAATGTCATACATAGTTAGATATAGATATAGATATAGATAGATTGAAAGATAGTTTACACAAAATGCATCGAAATTGTTAACCACCTTTTTAAGCACGTAGTTTGCTATATCAATAATAAAAACCTTTTCACAATATATTAACAGTCACGTACGCGGTGCAGTAGTGCAGAGAAACGCACGTGCTGTTCATTACGATCGGAAAATGTCATTCATGGCAATTTTCCAGCAGTTTTTGTCACATCAGGGACCTATACTTACAAACGTCGCGCTAGTCATAAGCTAATATTAGTTTTTCGTAATTTATTATCACTCACGTTATTAAAAAAAAACTATTAAATGAAGCGAATTAGTATATCGGTAGCAACAGCAGCAGTAGCAGCAGCAGTAGCAGAGGTAGCAAAAACAACATCATCATCATCATCATCAGCAGCAGCAGTAGCAGTATCATCATCAGCAGTAGTATCAGCAGCAGCCGTAACAGCAGTAACAACAACAGCAGCAGCAGAATCAGCAGTAGTCAGTAGTAATGACGTAGGATAAAGATCGCATTCCCTGCATCCAGCAGCAGTAGCAGCAGTAGTAACCGCAGCAGCAGCAGTACCAGCAGCAGCAGTAACAGCAGCAGCAGTAGCAGCAGCAGCATACCAGCAGCAGTAGCAGCAGCAGCAGCAGCAGCAGTAGCAGCAGCAGTAACAGCAGCAGCAGTAGCAAGAGCAGTAGCAGCAGTAGCAGCAGCAGCAGCAGCAGCAGCAGCAGCAGCATCACCATCATCACCACCACCAGCAGCAGCATCAGTAGCGTAGGCGTACCCCCTGCATCTATCATAGCATAGCCCTGCGCGCGTGTAAAGCTTGGCCGACCACTCGTACAGCCGACCACACACCTTAGCGGCTGCACACAGCATCATAGATATTACATCCCTACTAAAATATACAGCCACGAAACATCGCAGGTCATCCGCTAGGAAATCCTACTACTCTTGTTGATACACGTACACACGCATGCACGCACGCACGCACGCACGCACGCGGGGAGGCACCGAGAAACAGACAGATGAACGGACGGGCAGATGGAAGGATGGTGGTAGGAAATAGGAGAAAGAGAGAAGGAGTTACGGACGTATACTCTTACCATTCTATTAGCTGCATGTATTCACGTCAGATCAGCTAGAAAAATACTAGCCAAAATGTGTTTGCGATCTTTTGCGTGTGTGTTGTATCACTTGTATGTTGTATTCTGGAATACAGTGAAATATTAAATCCGTCCTTATTAACACCTATATATATATATATATATAAACATTGCTACTGTGCACGTGTAATATATTTTGTAGCAACGCGTACTAACAGTAAGTTAAGCAGTCATGATATTATCTATAAGTTGTCTATCCAGTACTAAATCTAGATCAGCTATATACTAGGATAGTAATATATTTTTGGTAGTATCAATGCACTCGTGATATTCTCACTACGTTTCTTCACGTTTTTGATGCGTATTGTCCAATTAATTGTTAGTTTTACCACTTTCTATGGTAATGCAGTCATATACACATGTTCAATAAAGATGTCATCTCGTGTAAACCTTGGTTGGGTATAGTAAAGCATAGAAATAAAATAATATGTAATAAAAACAAGCATAGATGGAAGACCATATTCAGTTTATATCATGAAAAACCGCACATTACATTCCACCCATACAGCAGATGAAGGAGGACACACACTCACATATTATCTTGATATTGTCGATTTAAATTTATCTACATCAACCCATATATACATATATATATATATATATAGTTAGATATAGATATAGATAGATTGAAAGATAGTTTACAAAAAATGCATCGAAATTGTTAACCACCTTTTTAAGCACGTAGTTTGCTATATCAATATTAAAAACCTTTTCACAATATATTAACAGTCACGTGGACCAATACAATTAATTTCATACGTCACATTCGCAGCCTTCAACACGATCCGCAGTGGCCCACTAACTGCCACGTAAAACCCCCTAATTATTATCACCATTATTATCATTATTACTATTATTAGTATTAATACCCATCGCATTAGACAGGTTACGACCCGTTACAAGCATTATATTATCAGGAGTAGATAATAGGGAATTATATCCCCGATTATCTACTCCTGATATTATCTATCTATCGATCACAACCACGTCTGCCACGTATATTAACGTGGAATTAGTGCATTTGGCAGTTAGTTGATGAATAGAGAGGCTCGTACGAATCGGAATAGATCATATCAGGAGTCTATCAATAGAATCCTATCAATAGAATCCTATTGATAGACTCCTTTAAAAAGAGCCCGTTGTCAGAAACAAACTTAGTCTTAACATTAGTTTTTCTTGTCTTAACAATAACATTTTCTCGTAGACCGTCGACAGCACTTTGTTTCGTATTGTTATGAGGAAATCTGCTGCGATTTTTCATTCAGGTAACTTCGCAGCGTTTCTGTCAACGGTCTAAGAGAAAAAGTTAATGTTAAGACTAATGTTAAGACCAATTTTGTTTCTGACAACGGGCCCCCCCCCCCTCCATATTATACATTGGCGGTGTAACGCACGTACAAAGCAAAAACTTATATTGACAAAAAAACAAAACAATTGCGTGTATATTTAGAAATAGTTGCGTTGAAATTTGGTCCCCATTGCATGTGGCAGGCGTACGCAGGAACATCTGCCCACAGAGGAATGTTCATGTCTATCCATCTTTGTGTTCAACCATAGACACGTCACCAGCAGCAATATAAGATATATATACACACTTCTCGCAAGTATATTTTCATGCACCAATGTCGCAAATGATCACAGCCTAGCTACAAGGCACCTTAATATGTAAACAAACATTCATATCTCACTCCTTCAATACATTAAAGACATAACAATTCTGTAATTGTACAAATAGTACCTAAAATAGTACCTAAAATAGTACCTAAAATAGTACCTTCATAGTTCATATATAAGTATGTATATATATATGTATACATACATATATATATACACACAGATATATATATATATATATATATATACTGGCGTTGCGCTGATAACAACAAAATCATGATATCATGATGGAATTATATCGTATGCGATCATTCATGATCGAATTAATCAGGGCTTGTTCTAACATTCAGTCCGACACAAAACAATGTACTGGAGATTCAAAACGTGTTCAGTGACTAAATTTCACAACTACGATAAATTTTCCATAACCGCGTCATCATCGTCATTATCAATGGAATTAAATCAACTTTATTGTGCATTCGCTTCCTATGCTTATGGCAGTAGTAAATAAGCCATATCGGGAAGTCCCTGCCGCCATATTGAGATCAGATAAGAGGGGGTATAAATTGAGGGCGTATAACATGGGTAGGATAGGACTATTCTAGGTTTTTGATCTATAATTCTCTTCACTAACATCGTACATCATTCACAGGTTCGGTTCTGTTTACATAAACATTTACAAATATGATTGTGGTCATTTGGGATATTTCGCAATGTTTGTGTTAATGCAAAAACTAAAAACGCACGAGTGCTTACATAAATCATGTACTTTCCTAAGCGCGCCTCGGCCAATTGTATACCCCCTTTTTCTGTGACCTAATTAGTACATCTGGACTTTCCGATCTCACTTATAATAACAAATTTGTCATCATTCACCCATGCATATATAGGCAAGCTAGGTGCCTCTGGTGGTGGCAACCTGGACCTTCCTGTAAAACCAGGACCAGCCTATCTGTATGAAAGCCTCTCGACTCTCACTCAATCGGAAAGTCACGTTAGAATAAACCCCGATTCCGTGCCGACCGCTCTCTAGACCGAATCGCTACCAACTATATCACAATGCGTTCGCTGCCGACAACATTTCAAGCGGCATCGACCGAGGCGGTCCGTTCGCGCCCCCCTCCCCACCCCCTCCGTTTCCGGCCGCCCGACAGGGGGCGCCACCTTAACACTGCTGCGCAACGAGACGTTCTAAAAGACAATTCTTTGCGACGATGTGCCGCCGTAACGTTGACGATGCGTTAAACATACGCGCATTAAACTGCGCGCTGATCGGATGCACTTGGCCGAGGCGGGATGGGGGATGGGGGGGGATGTGGGGGATGGGGGAGTCATCAGGTATAGAGGGAGCAGGTAGCGACGTCCGGGGGTTGGTGGTGGTGGTCAGGGGTGGGTCACCTCGCTCGTCCGTCTCCACGTCTTGGCGTCTCTGGTCTTCGCCACCTCGGGTCCCCGCCTTGTCTACACACCTCGCTGTCTCATCGTCTCGGGCCCTCTTGCCGTCTCAGGCCGTCGTTGCCGCGTCTCTACGCCTTGCTGACCCCTGGGCCCTCCATCAGGGGATCGCTCGTGAAAGACTCAAGGCCGCCGTTAGCCGCGGAAGCGTCTGCAACACACGACGATGATGACGTCACTGGTACCTGCGGTCACGCTGTGGAGGTTGTGCCGGGAGATCATTTAACCGCCACATAATAATGGCATTTAGTAATTTAATTTAATAATGATGCCATTTAATTTATATTTATGTTAAATGCCTCCAAACTGCTACTGCGACACACTTACCAATCAGTCACCTTTTCATATACATTACACATTGATACTATCACTTACTACTCATCAATCAATATTACCAATACCTTACACATAGCCACAACCACTTGTTATCGCCATTACCAATACCTTACCCATGGATACAGCCACTAACTTGCCAATCAATCACCATTACCAATACCTTACCCATGGATACAGCCACTAACTTACCAATCAATCGCCATTACGAAGACCTTACCCACGGATACAGCTACTAGCTAACTTATCAATCCATATTACCAATCTTTCTCGCGGGTTTCTAAGCAGAATACGAGAACCGTGGTGGGAGAAACTACTATAAGATCGGTGCCTACAAAGTGAAGCAGGAAGGACCCAACCGACCAACCAGGCCTTATGCCCCCCACGACAAGACAAACATACAAACGGATCTTTTTGTAGAACGGCGGTATTGTACGTCTGGCACATTACCCTGTTTACGTCATATACGGAGTGAATAATAATAGATATACTAATAGATATAACAGATATAATATTATCAGGAGTGAATCATAATAGATCTATCATTAGAAATCAGATCATCATAGTTAAGTTAAATCATTCCCGCGCCTATGTGGCGCATAGGGCGGTGCCTATCTCCGTTTCCTTAACCCGAGGCCATGCATCCGCTTTCACAGTAAATACTACAGCAGGGGGGGGGGGTTAGTCCTCTGGTAGCACTGCGAGTTAACTTTCCACATTCTTTCTCGATCTCTATAGAATCTATTATAATTCACTCCTGGTCTTGCGTTATGTCTACGTCTACGATGCATGCATGAATCTGCGACGTTACCTGTCTGCGTGTCACAACGATGGCATATCATCCAGCTCTGTCGCCTGTTCCATCATGGCTGAACCCACGCACGCAGAGAGAGGGAGAGAGAGCGAGAGCACGGGGGATACGAAAGCGTGGTTAGTGGTTAGTTAGCAATGACACACGAAACATCGGCAGCAGCAGACACACGTAACACAAGAACAAACGAGTAACGTTGACCTTCAACATTGACCTTCTTTCGGCAGGGCCCAAGGCACGACTTTTCCCTCGAGGAATTTTCCGGTAATTTTCTCGAACTTTTTTATTTTCGACAAGGCACGAGATTTTAAGAGAAAAAGTAATTGTACTTCGTCTGGTCGAATCAGCAATTAGTAAGCGGACTTCTGCCTCAAGCAAGTTTTATTGGTTCTGACGTATTAAGCAGGGCTATAGCTTCTGTACGTTAAACTTGTTATTATCATCAGTAAAATGTGAACACGATAGCTATGTGATCAATGTCCAGAATTTTCTAGGGCAGGGGTTCTTAACCTTGGTCCATGGACTCCTTTGGGGTCCGTGGATGGGTTTCAGGGGTCCGTGAACCAGGTGCATAAAAAATTATTGTGTTTATGACCCCTTATGTGCATTTTTCTGGGGAGGGGTCCGTAGCTTTCACCAGATTCTCAGAGGGGTCCATGACCCAAAAAAAGGTTAAGAACCACTGCCATAGGGCCGAACATAATCACATTTTCCATGACCTTCCAGGCCCATAAAATGGTCAATTTCAGTCAAACCAATATCATGTCAATAAAAATTCCAGGAACTTTCCAGGTTTTCCAGAACTTCGTGCGAACCCTGTCACTCCCCTCACTGCCCCGACTCCCTCCCTTCGTTAAAAATGACGAACAGGCAGCAAAAATGTTAGCTGAAGCTGGGTTGAATACAGACGCATGAGCGCACAGCGGGGGATAGATGAGGATACGTTGACAGAGTTAGTGCAGCATGATATACGCTGTATTACACTGCACGCTTCACACAGCAAACCTTCTGCATGCTACAGACTACACGTTCCAGCGTTGGTATTGCCCCAAACATAGGCTATACATATATAGCTTATATTATATATATATATATATAGTATATATATATATAGCCTATGTTCATTTTTTATATAGCTGCATGGATGTCTTTTTATATATATATAGAACGACACAAATCAATTACTAGCAGGTGTATGCCACAAAGTGTATGATTCTGCTCGGAAGCATTATTTCATTGTTTTCTGCTGACTCACCATGAATAGCAATCATTGCCTCACTGGTGCTGCTTCGATGCACAAAGTTCTTTATCCTGGCCCTGGCTAGCTGGTCCAGCAATTCTTGCTGTAATGAAAGAACGTCCTCCGATTAGTATATATATATATATATAACATACAGTTATTGTCAGTTATAGTCAGCGCCATCTAGCGACAATACCAGTGCACGAGATTAAATCCCACAATTACATGTAAAATCGGGAGTGAATAAAAAACAATCGTTCTTTTATTCGCTCCCGGTGAAACGTACGATGGAGCGCTCATAATATAAACGTCATAGTTCAGGGGTTAAGATATTCGGAAGCCGGAACGCGAGAAATCGACTCGCCGCTACGAAACGCGTCAAAAAGTTTAAAGAAAATGACCGCCGAAAAAAAAACAGGGAGAATGAAAACGCAACTGCTTGTCTGTGCAGACGGATGTCATTACGTTTGAAATTTTTACCATCTTGATCGCAACACACGTGCAATCACGCGCAGTCGACGCAGACGAACAAGATTTTGCACAGACAAACACGAACACAAATTTCGGCACTTGCACTGCAACACCAACGCATTTAAATTCTTTTTTTCCTCGGATGATTCCAATCTGGAACACCCTATCCGTGGGTGTTGTGGAAGCGACTGACGTTGACACTTTCAAGTCAAGGCTTCACTCCCACATGCACACGAAACCCACTTTAGGAAGACACCTAGTAGCATTGCACTCACATCATTACGCACCTGTTTGTTTATTGGGCTTATACCTGAATGCACTTACTACCGCTCATAGGGTCATATGTCCCCCCAGGGTACTATCGGAAGGTACCCTGGGTACGGTTCAATATATCGGAACGTACCCTGGTAAATATCTGATATGGTTAGGGTTAGGGTTAGGGTTAGGGTTAGGGAGTAGGTGTAGGCGACTTCCTAGCCTCGTTAGTGGAGTAGGCGAGGTACGGTCCGGCATATTAGATAGTACCAGGGTACGTTCCGGTATATCGAACCGTACCCAGGGTAGGGGCTCTACCCTCCGATAGTACACTGGGGGACATAGAACCTCTCAGCCTTACTACCTTGTCACTATATCCAGTGCAGTGGACACTGACAAGTATGAGAACATAACATAACAAACGCTTATTTCCCGTGGGAAAGTCAGTTAAATATCAGGAGCCGGGCTTTCACTAGAGTATCCTTAGACAATGTCATTACAGCTGGGCTAATGCGGTAGTTTTTCTACACGTGCAGTTCCACGTATTTTAAGCCGATTTCGCATCGAGAGCCTTCGTTGCAAGGTCATTAAGCGGGTTTTTCGCTGGTTCGGTCAAAGATTTTCGCTACGAAAACAGACACCCGCTGCAAACGTAATAAGATAGATTTAAGGGGGTTTTCCTCTTCGGTTGGAAAAGACCGAGTTTTTGACTTTCACGGATAATTTCATCATGGCAGGTGACCTTTGCTGCACCGTCGGTGAACGTGAAATTGATTTGTACAGACTTTAATGGTCGGAAAGCAAACACTGTGGAGTTTCTAATTGCAATTAACAGAATTATGCCCCTTGTTTAATCACTGTCTGGAACACAGCCAGTAGGACAATCAAAGCACCACGTTTTACGAAATACGAAATCGGCCGATTCACGAATCTCTCGCACGATTACTATTTTCATTAAATATTATCATGTACAATTTATCACTTTTATATTATTGTACGATAACTTACCGACAAGTTTATGAAAACAATAGGCTGACTTATTGACTTGAAGTCTTCTGTTATTCTCTCTAATGCCTGAAAATGCACAGATAAACACAATTATTGCAATATCAACCCACATTGACTGACACAAATAATATAACATAAATATAAATTGCCATAATATTGCCCATATTGACTGACAAGTGAATGCGATTTTTGTTCCCAATTACAGGTATGTCCCGTTTTACGATGGTCCATTTTACAACTTTCCACATTAACCTTTTTAAAATTACCTAAAAAATTGAAGAAAAAAATATTGCAACTTAGTAACACATCGCAGTAACGCCTGTGAGTAAAAACACGCAATATGCACTTCTTTTGTTTTTCGTGGTGTATTGTGGGTGGAATCATACCAGGAACCTAGCTCCCATTATTGTCACCATATTACGATATTGTCACATAGAATATCAGTGAAGGAGCCAGACAATGGCGTAAAGACGTACTCATGCGATGGCTCCACAGGGCCAAAGTAAGTTAAAATTTCATTTTATTAACTGTTTTATGTATAAGTATAAAAAAACGTGTTTAAATGTTCAAAATATTTAATTATTTATAAAAAATAGCAATATTAATACATACTTGGGAAAATTTTGGACGATCTCATTTAAATGCATTATAATTTGGCATCGTTTTACGACTTTTCATTTGATGACCCTGTTTTACTGGAACCTAACAATGTCGTAAAATGGAACCTACATGTAATTCATTATTCACAGCCAGTTTAGGCCTTGTCATTTATCCTTTGCTATACACCTCCCCGAACCACGCCCCGGTGTTTCCTCCCAGCAAAGCTTACATACCTGAACAGACGTAAAGTCCATTCCGCTGATGTGTGAGCAATCAAATATCACAGGATTTGGAATGTCATCTGAAATGAATCGAACACACCGCTATGTTACAACCGTGTATGCGCGACTTTAACAGAAAACACAAATCATAGAATGTCACAACCGTCACAACATTGTCCCAACATTGTCACAACCGTGTATGCGCGACTTCTATTTAACAGAAAACACGAAGCATGTAATTGGGCTCGACACACGACGGACTGATCGCATTTTCGTGCGAATTTTCGTTGAAAGAAACGTCGCAAAAGTCACGCGCAACGCAGACCGGTAAACACTCCTGCTAACGATCACGCCTTCATCTTCTTAGAAAAACAATCGCGGGAAATATGCGAGAAATTCCCCCACAAGTTGAATCCCCATCCCTCAAATCTCTCTCTACCGATATAAATTTTATTTATTTTTCATAATTTAATACTATCCGTGGAATAAAGTCGCCTGTGTGAAATTCCTCCACCTCTCGGAATCTTGGATCGTCTAGGGAAAAATTTGCCCCCCCCCCCGCGATCACACTCCACACTCACTCTGCCTCGACTGTTTGATGACGGCGTCGGCGATGTTCTGTGTCGCGGGGAAGTAGAAGCTTTGCTCCGGCCGCATCACCAGCACCCCGCCCTCTCTTTTCTCGTCGACCTTTGGCAGCAGCGACAAGGATTAGCATCAGGGCGCGGGGGAGGCGGGAGGGACGCGGCGACGCGCGGGGGGAGGCGGGAGGCGTGGAGACGCGCGGGGGGAGGCGGGAATGAGAAATCTACTTTTTATCTTATTTTTATATCTATATCTATATTATATGTTATTTTTATATCTCTATGTTTATATTATATCTTATTTTTATATCTATATCTATATTATATGTTATTTTTACATCTCTATATCTATATTATATGTTATTTTTATATCTCTATGTTTATATTATATCTTATTTTTATATCTATATCTATATTATATGTTATTTTTATATCTCTATATCTATATTATATCTTATTTTTCTCTGCTGGACGATGGGTCATGACTTGCGCAGACGGGACCACCGAATTTTCGTCAGCCGGTAACGAACGCCGAGTGACCGCTCGCGACGTGAAACAGCGACGACAGACGGAACAAGATGGCGTAGCGTACGACGGGGGAGCTCACCGCGACGTTGTGATTGGCCGCGTCTGACGTGCTATCCGGCGGGGGCGGGGCCTCGCCGTGCTCGGCGATGGAGCCGCCGGCGTCGGTGACCCGCAGCCCGGGCCGCGCCATGTTGTACAGCAGGAAGATCAGCGACACCCCGACGCCCGCCATGATGCCGTACTGCGCGAGTAAAAACAAGAGGCACGTCGATGAAAACAAGAAGCGCGTCGATGAAAACAAGAGGCACGTCGAGGAAAATAAGAGGCACGGTGAAGAAAACAAGAGGCACGTCGAACGAAACAAGAAGCGTGTCGAAGCAAAATAAGCGGCACATCAGCAAAAACAAGAGGTGCGTTTGTGCGTCGAGATTTTTGCTTTCTCAAGAACTTTTGAATTTTTAAAACATTTTTACGTCTAAATGTTTTTTCTAAAATTTTGAATTTTTGAATTGCTTTGTTTCTTTCACCGACAAGATTTTGTACGATTTTATTGATTTGTATGCATCACATGTGGCATGCTCTGTTCTTGAGCCCCAAATATAAAGCGTATATATATATGCAACTCTGCAGACATAATACATTAGATAGAGCGCATCTAAACGATAAAGCTAGTTGACGGATAAACTCCAGATGCACAGAGCATCCTGTGCCAATATAACCACAGCACTAAAGGCAAGATTTCACGATAAAAACAACTTTTCCATCACAGCCATAATTACCTCTATGCCTAACCCCAGGCATGCTAGGAAGGTGACAAATAGAGGCACCAGGTCCAGTTCTGTGAAAAAACAAGTACCAAGAATGATTACCAGTGCAACTGCACTCCTGAAAAAAAACCGCAGAAGACTTTAGCCACATGAGTCGTTTGAAGGTTATTATTTATCTATCTTTCAATTTATGTTAGAGTTAAGATCCCACACTCAAACATGGATGCCGCGTCTACAATTCACGGCCACTATACTTACTCTTCGTCCTCCATATCTTCGCGACGATCTCGTACTCAAACATGGACGCCACGGCGCAGATGATGATGGCAGCGAGGGTCGCCTGCGGGATGTACGTGAATGCCGCCGACAGGAAGCTGAGAGCTAGCAGCGCGAGCACTCCTACAGATGGCAGCACATGTCGCGGTCAGACGGACGCGGATCGATCGCGCGACGCGACGCGGGCGAGAGCGGCGGTCGATTAACGACTCGTTACACTTCACATTAATGTCAGGAACGCTCTTAAAATCTTAGTACGCGAGCTGAAAAGTGAAACTTTCGCTATCACGCAGGAAAAATCACGAAGATTGGGTTTTCTGATTGAGCTCGCATCAGAAAATGTTGGTACACACTCGTTTGCCCGCCTTCCCCCAATTTGCACTGCTGTCCATGGCAATGGCATATCTATCCCCAAGAAGCGAATTATAACTTCAAAAAAGGTCGCCGATCAAGGTCAAACACGCGCTGCCAACCCACGCAGGAAACATCTCTCGATGGGAGATGTTACGCAGACGTGGGTTGCTAGGTGACGCACGCGCGCACGTGCAGACGAACGCGCGCACGCCCTCCGATCGCCCGCTCGCACCTTACCTGTAAGTATGCCTCCAGCTGGCGTCTTCACGCCACTCTGCGAGTTCACCGCAGTTCTGCGGAGAAAGTCGACACAAACGATTAATATTCAACGATCGCGACACATCGAAATTAGAATTAAACGACAGCTTGCGTGCGGCGACTCCGATTCAATGCGCACGTCGCGCGAGCGCGTGAAATATTTCGATATAGTGAACCACGCATGGCGAATATCGTTATTTAATCGCCCCACGCTAACGAGATGAATTTATGCAACGCACGCAGCGAAATGCATCATAAATTTAAGTACAGTTAGTTCCTCTATGCCACGAAAACAGGGTCGAACGTTGAACTCACACAACACAACTTAAATTTGTCCATAAAAGGCTTCACTATTAAATTTTCAGTCATCTGTATAGTTTATATAACTATGCAACTCTGATAATTAAATAATTAATTAATTGGCCAATTAAACAAATTACTTAAACACTCTCTCTCGTGACTACGATATGACATAGACCACCATCCACCTACGCCACGACACCGCCCGCCATCCACCGACTCCCGCCTATAGCAAACACAAGAACATTCGCTGCCGCGGCACACCTGCCCAGTGGCGCCCTCACCTGGAGAAGCTGCCGGTGACGGGGTAGGCGGAGACGAAGGACCCGAGGATGTTGGCGAGTCCGAGAGCGAGGAGCTCCTGTGTGGGGTCGATCTTGTATCGGTTCTTACGAGCTGCAACACACACAGACGCACACACGCGCGCAATGTGTATACGCTAACATCCCATTTCGCCTACTCTCAGAATGGGCAATATTCCCATTTCGCCTACTCCCATTTCGTCTACTCTCAGAATGGGTAATACTAATAGTGCCATTTCGTCGTAGTATTGATATTACAACAAATACCAGGATAAATTAGTGTGAATGCTACTCCGTCTAGTCTATGTATGCTAATCAAAACTATATATTACACTTATAAATGATTATTTAGTGGGCAAGCTAATGGTAGACAAAATGGGAATGGGGTGGATTTTTAGTTTAGACGAATTGGGAGCAGGCGAATTGGAAGTAGGCCAACCGGGATAAGCCGTGTATAAACAAGAGATAGCAGCCGTGATATACAAGATAATAAATATAGATATGATACATATGACAAACATAAGATACGATACTTTTTTAGGATGAGTCATTGCAAAACGTCACGACCATTTAAACTCACCGTGACACATATACTCCCACAATATTTTCCGACGACGGGGTCCCGGTCAATCGACAGATTAGTGATTCAGTTCGTTAGCCCTTGATTAGTAGTAGCGTCGCGTAATATAGCGTAGTATAATACGGTAGCGTAGCGTACGGTAGCGTAATATAGGGTAATGATAGTGGCTGCCTCCTCCTCTATGACAGACGTGCGCAGACGACAACTCACCGAATGCCTTAGCAATGACAATGCTCTCCAGTATGCCTATGAGGGGAACGACAGCCAAACCGCTGCCAAGTTGCTGCAACATAACAACGTCGTTCGACATTACATTGTGGCGAGGGTGGGAGGATGCGGGGCCAGACCGCTGCCAAGTTGCGGGGGAAGGCAGGGGGACGGGTGAGGGTGCGGGGAAGGGCGGGGTGGGGGAGGGTGGGAGGGGTGAGGGTGCGGGGGAGGGCGGCGGCAGACCGCTGCAACCAACGTAACGACGTCGTTCAACATGACATCGGCGCGAAGGCGAGGCGGGTTTGTAGCTGCCCCGATTACGAGATTACACTATTTACATTGAGCAAGTATCATGTGATATATATATATATATATAGATTATCTGTAAGATCAAATATATTACGTTATCACGAGTGAGATACTAACGGGTGCTATTATATTGATTTAACACATATATATATACAGTGTAGCCCCGTTATAACGCGATGGTTGTTTTCCATGAAATGTCATCGTGAAAAAAGCGGGATCGCGCTAAATCAGGGTTATATATATACGTGGCTATATAAGAGTAAAACAAGGGGGTCCAACGACTCACGGCGTTATATCCGAATTCGCGTAAAATCGGGGTTCCACTGTCTATATATATATATATATTGCTTTGTTGATTTTTTATATGTTTGCCAAACACTGTTCACACAACGCCCGACACATCGTAGCTACGATGATGACAACTGTAGTGTAGCGGTCTTCTGGCCCACGTAGAGAAAGCCATAAAGCTTCTGGTCAACATTACAACAGAGCGAAGGTGGGGCAGCGGGCCGATTACGAAAAAGATTACGTGATTTATATTCGGCAAGCATCGTATGATATATATATACGGTATATAGACAACAGCAAACATACCTAAGATAAGAACAGCTAATAATAGACAAGAGTTAATAATAAGGTGTTGTTAGCTCTTGATATAGATTACATGTAAGTTTATAATATGTTAGATGTGTAGTTATATTAGATTATAAGATCAAATATATTACATTATGATGAGTAAGATACAAACCGGTGCTATTACATTGATACATTGCTATATATATATATATATAGTAGTGGTAAGGGTTAGTGTCAAGGATAGGGTTAGATCTAGGGTTAGATATAGGGATAGATCTAAGGTTAGATCTAGGGTTAGATCTAGGGATAGATCTAGGGATAGATCTAGGGTTAGTGTTAGGGTCAGGGTCAGAGTTAGGGTAAAGGTTAGGGGTAGAGTTAGTGTTAAGGCTAGGGTTAATGTCAGGGTTAGGGTTAGGGTCAGGGTCAGGCATAGGGTTATGGTTAGGGTTATGGTTAGGGTTAGGGTTAGAGTCAGGCATAGGGTTATGGTTAGGGCTAGTGATAGGGTTATGGTTAGGGCTAGTGATAGGGTTATGGTTAGGGCTAGTGTTAGGGTTATGGCTAAGGCTAGTGTTAGGGCTAGTGATAGGGTTATGGTTAGGGCTAGTGTTAGGGTTATGGTTAGGATTAACGTTAATGTTATGGTCAGGGTTAGAGTTAAGGTCATGGTCAGGGTTAGTGTTAAGGTCAGGGTGAGGATCAGCATCAGGGTGAGGGTGAGCACTTACTGACAGCATCTTGGACGGCCCGATGGTGACGTTGCCGTCGGTGATGTAGAAGTTGGGCGGCTTGAACGGCGGCAGGCCGGCGTTGACCTCCCCGGTCAAGGTGAACGGGTCTCGCTGGGCGACCTCCAGCGCGTACGCGATGACCGCAGCTATTAGGACGATCACCGCGTTCCTCGCTGCAAGATCAACGTCAAGGTCAAGCCCGTGTGGGGGGGTCACGTGTCAAGGTCGTGCATGAGAAATGTCTTTTTTTAAATAATTTCACTAGCTTCACCTCTTGACATTTAAGATATTATTCATCGCTTGCCAAGTTATAGAAAGCAAATCTACACGAAGCTTCATTATCAGTATGTATACTTATAATGCGGACGGACGCTTGATCAAAATAATTTTGCGTCATCAACAATTTATTTGCGTCGGCTGGGCGCGGACGCTGCATTCAGA